GGCACGGTTGGTCCTGATATTGTGTGTATCCACAGGACACCAATTTTAAAAAATGTAAACTCTAAATGTATTGAAGAGAGATCAGTGAAGTGGAGGGTGGGGATTGAAGGGGTGATGAGATAGAAGTTCTGAGGACTGAATCAGAGTAGGTTGGGTTCCATGCTTTTGTGATTGGGTCAGGTGTAACCTGGTGATGTATATAAATAAAAAGGATAAATAAAAATAATAATTCAATATAAAAATACTAGTAAATTGAATTAAATAATATATAAATATTATTCAACATAGCAACGTGAAATTTATGCAAGGAATGCAATATTGTTTTCATATCTAAAAATAACTTAAGAGTCAGGTGCTCTGCACAAACTTTTAATCCTAGCAGCTAGTATGAGGATTTCAAGTTCAAAGCCAGCCTCAGCAATGGTGAGGTACTAAGCAACTCAGTGATACCCTGTCTCTAAGTAAAATATAAAATAGGGTTGGGGATGTGGCTCAGTAGTTGAGTGTCCCTGACTTCAATCCCTGGTACCAAAAAAAAAGTAGAAATAACTTAAGATAATAAAGCACATCATATATCAAAGGACAAAAACCACAAGATCATTTCAACTGGCCCAGTATAAACATTTGTTAAAATTCAGATATTTGAGGGACAGAAACACACAATAATTTAGGAATAGATGGACATTTCCTCAACCTTAAAAACAACACCTGCATGCAAGCCCAACAGTTGGCATGATGCATGATGGTGAAGGAGTGGATGCTCCTTGACAATCAGAAATGAAATGTGGATATCTGTTATTTTCACATTTATTTAAACATCATATTTGGATGTTCTACAGGGCTATGAGGGAAGAACATGAAATAATAGATATTCAAATGGGAAAGGAAGAATAAAACTACCTCTATTCATATATGACATGACATATTTCTTTTTCTTAGTATTTTGTGGTATATTTACCAAATAAAAATACACATACACACATTGCTATGCATATACGTGTGTGTGTATGTGTATTCAAGCTGCACATGTTGCTTTGATATATGTGTACATTGTGAAATAGTTACCACAGTCAAGCTGTTAACATACTTATTCATTTCTACAGTTTTGTAGTGATAACACTTAAGATAACTCTTACCAAACTTACAACGCATTATTATTAACTATATTAGCAATGTTACCTATAAGTTCAACATTCTGACCAACATTTCTTCATTTCTCCCATCCCAACTCCTAGTAATCACCCTTCACTACTGATTCTATGAGCACAACATTTTTAGATTCCACATATAAGTGAGATTGAGATTATGCAGTATTTGTCTTTTGTTGTATTGCCTTATTTAACTTAGGATAATGCTCTCCAATTTCATCAATGCTGTTACAAATGGCAGATTTCTGTTTTAAAGCTGAATAATATTCCATTTCATATATTAACTACATTTTCAGTATCTATTCATCAGTTGATGGACTTAGGTTGATGCATACCTTGGCTACTGTGAATAGTGCCACAATGAACACAGCAATGAAAATAACTCTTTGAGGTAGGAATTCCTGAATCGTATGGTAGATCGATTTTTAAATTTTTTGATGGATTTCCATATTGTTTCCCATAATGGCCATACCAATTTTCATTCTCATGAACAATGTGTAAATATTCTCTTTTGTCCTCATCCTAATCTTTTTGTTTTTTATAATATCAATTATAATAATTTAATACCATTGAGGTGATATCTTATTGTGGTTTTGATTTGTATTTCCCTAATGTTGATGATTAATAATGCTAGGAATTTTTTCATGTATTTGTTGCCCACATCATTTGTATATCTTCCTTGAGAAACTGTCTTTGTAGATCTTTCACCCATTTTAAATGAGGTTATTTCTTTGGTTTTTTTTGTTGTTGTTCTTTGTGGTACTTAGTCATAAAATGTCCTTGTATATACAGAATATTAACCTCTTATTAGATATATAGTTTGCCAATATTTTCTCCGATATCCTGGGTTGCTTTTTCATATTTTTTTCTTTGCTGTGAAGAAATGTTTTCATTTGATGTAGTCCCACTTTTCTTTTGTTGCCTGTACTTTTGGTGTCATATCCATTAAGTCATTGCCAAGACAAATGGCATAAAGCTTTTCTCCCTTTTTTTCTTGGAGTTTTATGGACTCTAGTCTTAAATGTAAATTTTTATCTCATTTTTAGTCAATTTCTGTGGAGGGGTGTAACAAATTCTTTTAATGTTTATTTGCTTTTTGGCATTTGGATTTCCAGCTTTTCCAAAATATTTGTCAAAGAGACTCTTTTCTGCATTATATAATTTTTTGTACATTAAAAGATTAGTTGACTATATTTGCCTGTATATATTTCTGGAGTTTCTATTGTATTCCATTGGTCTATTTTTTTAAAACAATCTGTACCTTAATCCTTTGATTACTTTGGCTGGTAATGACAGATCTTTTATATACAAAATACTAAAGATATCTTCTAAAATATATTAGAACTAATAAGTTCAGAAATGTTTCAGAAAACAAGACCAATATATAAAACTATTATATTTCTGTATAGTAGTAATAAGCAAACCAAAGATGAAATTTTAAAATCAGTGCTATTTATAACAGCTTCAAAATGGATAAAATGCTTATGAAATCTAATGTACTAAAATTAAATCAGCACTCTGAAAACTGCAAAATATTATTGGAAGAAGACTTACATAAAACAAAAATTCCCACTCATGAATTGGAAATCTAAATATTAAGATAATAATATGTATTTCACACAATCCCTATCAGAATTCCAGCTGGCATTTTTGTAGATTGACAAGCTGATTTTTATCACTCATTACTTGCTGACCATTTTCCCAGTAATTATGAAAGAGATTATATCCTGATCGGATCAGTTTGAGGCCAACCTCTCTTTGGGATGAACATGAACCATATACATTGTGCCAATAGTTATCTACCTTGTGGGTTTGTTTTCTGAAATCCTTATATAATGAGCTAAACAACTAAAACAACAGACATATTTTAAGAAATAATTCCTATACAGAAAAACAGCAATCCATATCCTACAAGTCCTAAAGTCAAAGGCTTCTTGGTATTTCAATCTTTGCCAAATTGTAAAGCTGCCTTGAGTTAAAAGGAGGGTCTGCAGAATAGTATTAAACCACAGAAATTAGTTCAATACATCTAGGGTAGAGGCAAGTCTTTATTTTATTAGCTTTATGGACTTTACAAAACTGTTTTAATTCTAGTTTCTTACAGTTGATCCCCATTCTTCTTTTAAATCACCATCTCTGACACTTGTCTTGATTTTTAGTTAACTCAGTCTGTATTAAGCAGACTGAGTTAACTAAAAATTAAGCAAAAGAATATAGGTGCTTTTCTTAGGAGGGAGTTTCAACTACAAAATTGTTCACCATATATTTGGGGTTAATGGGGGAATTCATAAAAACTACTCTAGTATGCAAAGTGGGAAACCTCCTAAAATAAAATCCAGTTCTATTCAATGCTGCTAAATTGCAGAAGAAAATTGAATAGCCATAGGTGTTTTTAGGCATGTGAAGAATATGTACAAATGGGATATAAAATATAATCACTATATCCTATAATTGTTATGAATAATATGAAGTTTTTCTTATATATATTTTAAAGTGACAGATCTCCATTTTAAAAGTAAAATTTTAAATGAAATAATAAAAGAAAAAATGTACAGGTCACATAAAATTTACAAAACTTAAAATACTTTGACCAATTTAAGATGAATCATAATGTGTATAGTCAGCTAGTGGAGGATTTAAACTTTAAAGGAGAAACATTTGATATCAGCCCAAGAAAAATATTTGACATGTCTGTATCTATCACTGTGTAATTCCACTAGATAGGAAAGGAAAAACAATATTTGCAGACAGTAAGATATAAAAATGTCCATTGTAGATTTAAAAAAAATTAAAACCATTTCAAACTTATCCCAAGATGGTTTGGCTAAAAAATTGCAGCTCATTCCTGTAGTGGAATATTATACAAGAGAATTGTAGGAGAATATGTAATAATATACAAAGATAGCTCACAAAGAACAATTGTGGTGTAACTATCCTCCAATGAAACATTACATACTATATGATAAAGGCATGTATATATTTATTAAAATTAGAGGAATTAGGAATGGTTTGAGGATTTTGATTTTCTTGTTTTACATTAACAACTTTAAAAAATGTTTTCTATTATAATCATGTTCAATTTATATAAAAATAAATGTTTAAAATAAATAAAGCCACAAAATCCCATTTCCCTAATGAAATATTGGCAGAAATGCAGAAATTATTGTAATAGCAACTGCAGAAAATTATCCAAGTACCAAAGTACTCTCACAATTCTGCATCACTTTAGAAAATTTAACATGTACTATATTTATCAAGGGCCATTCAATGACACACTATTCCTCATGAAAAAGAACCAAGGAGCTCACATTCTTTGACACTACAAATTTCCCTTTAAAACTGATTGTTCAGGGAAAAAACCTTGAATGTCAGCAAGGTTTTTCGACTATGGGTTTCTTCGTAGCATTGATATGAATTAAAAAGATGATCAAGAAACAACCTAGATGTTCAGCAAAGAGAAAAAAGAGTTAAAACATACACACACACACACACACACACAAACACATACAAGATACAGAGATATATCTATAGATATATACATATCAATAGCCATGAATTGTATTGAATACTAGCAGCCAGAGAAATTATTTTAAAAGTACTTTTAATGACATGAAATGAAGATTAAGAGTATGTGAATATAAATGTACACACACATTTATGTGTGAAAAGCAGATATAAAACAGTATATACATTATAATATATATGACATATGCATAAGAAAAATACTGGAGCTACAGCCAAAAATGTTTCAGGCAGTTTTTGTTTTTGGAAAATACTGGGTAGGTACAGATGAGCATGTTTCAGAAAGGCATGGGTAGTCAATAGGATTGATTAGCGACAACACTAATTTTCTTCTGTTGATTTGTCAGCGTTGTGATTTTTTTTTCTGCAGTGAAGCTGAATTTTTTTCGGACAACAGGGAAGGGGACAGAAAGTGAACACAGGGGAAAAGGGTGATTAACAGTATTCTATTCCAGCAAAACAACCAAGGACAGCGAAACAGAATTTGCAGCCCATCTGAGCTGAACAAGGTACACGCACACAAGCATGTGCGTGCGCGCACGCACACACACGCACGCACACACCCACACACAAACACACACACACCCCAATTACAGCAACTAGAAGACTATGCAGGGAAAATGGGCATACTCTTTTTACTAGCTGCGCTGGCTGGCACAAGTGCAAATCGGCACGATGCTTATGAAGGGGGCCTTTTGGTAACACACAGGAAAAGTCTCTGAAACGTCTATATGTGGATCCTGCAAGTCCACAGTTAGGGAGACCATCCAGGATGCTAGCAAAGATTTGGCTTGACAAGGAAGGATTCACTCATCAGAGCACGCAGTGTTGGTTTTAAACACAGGGAAAGAACTAGGCACCACCTGAATGTCCAACAATGCGGGAAATGATTACAGAAATGTTAAGGTCCATGGATACACAGGAGCACTCTGCAGGCACTGATGATGACGTCTCATAAGCCTGTTGAATAACATGGAAAGAAGTTCAATGGGTTGATTTTTGTTTGGTTTTAGTTGCTGAAAAAGCAGGTTAAGAAACACCACATAGATGAACCATTCTACAACAGTATGTGAAGAGGGGAGGTGGGGTGAGGGCAAGAGGGAGGGAGATAAGAGAGCCTGGAAAAACAGCACACCAAAAAGGTAAAAGTGGTTCTCTCTGGGAAGTGGGATCATAGGGAGCAACTACTCTCTTGCTTTTCTCTCATATGATTTCCTTCTCCTTTCTGATAGTTGTACCATGAAATTCTATCACCTGTGCAGTAAACAAAGAGAGACAGAAAATGCGTTCATGAACCAAACCCCGGGGAGAAGAGGCAGCCTTTAACTTATCAAATGGCACAGATTAGTAGGGTTGCTCAGGACGCCCTAGGTAGGGTGTGTGGGGGGCGGGGGAGGACAGAAGGAGAGGAGGCAGAAGCAAGGAAGTGGGGAAGGGGGGAGAGAGGAAAGACTCTGGGAGGGGGCCAGGAGAGGGAGAGGGAGAGGGAGGTGGGGGGAAGAGAGAGAGACCTGCACTCCCAATACAATACACTGCTGGTGGGTTGGGGGTGGGGGGGGTTGTAAACCGGGTGGGAGCCAAGATTTGGCTTTGCTCATCGCAAGGTGGCCTCCTCATCGGTGTCATCCTGGAAATCCTTGACGTCAGCACTGGTGGACTGCCTTGCCCAGGCTCCCCTTTCAGCCTCTCTCTCTTTATGCGACTTGAATCTCCCGACGAAAATTTTGCGGTAGTTTAGGAACATGCCATTCATCGCATCTATGGCCCGCTCGGCCGACTCCTGCTTCTGGAAGTGCACGAACCCATAGCCCTTGGGCCCCTTTTCATCACAGGCCACTTTGCAGGAGAGGATGTTGCCGAACGCCGAGAAGATGTTGTACAGCGCCTTGTTGTCGATGGTCTTGCCCAGGTTCTTGATGAAGACGTTGCCCACCCCGCTCTTGCGGAGCGAGGGGTCCCTCTGGGACCACATGATGCGCACTGGCCTGCCCTTTATGACATCAAAGTTCAGGGTCTCTAGGGCTCGCTTGGCATCCACCGGTTGCTGGTAGTTGACATATGCGTAGCCCAAAGAGCGGCGGGTGATCTTGTCCCTGCAAATGCGGATGGACAGGATCGGCCCCGCTGGGCTGAACTTCTCATACAGCATTGCCTCGGTCACCTCGGGGTGCAGGTCGCCCACGTACAGAGAGGCCATGGGAAAATCGGGGTTCCCTTCCGAGCCCCCGCCCAATTCCGCACCTGCATCC